AAGTGCTTGCTCATGGTGGGTACTGTTGGGTCTCTGTAAATAAAATTATAAGGAGTACGGTCCAGACCTGCTGTATTTGAAAAGTGTCCTCAGAAAGGCTGCACCGAAGCAACAAACACTGGAGAAAGAAACTCAATTTTACAATTTTACAGAGGGTTTGTTATTTTTTTACAGAGGGTTTGTTATTTTACTCTTTATTGTGTAACAAAAAAACAATAAAAAAAAAACATTAAGGAACAGCTTCAATGCAGGCATTTTTTCTTGACATTGGATTGATTTTAATAACTTTAATGTACTTGAAGTGTGCACTGTGCAACCATATTATGTAAAAAGAATATTAGATGGGGACTTGGTATGGGACACAATATTAAATGACTTGGATCGTGGGCTAAAATATTTGCGTTACGGTGCTGCTTAAGTCTTACTTTACTCCCCATCATCCCAGACCTGCAGGTAAAGATGATAGTGAAAGTGAAACAGTGTGATAATGTTAAATGGCTCCTGTCATTGTGATGAACCTAGAAGAAGCAGAAGAATCTGTGCTGTGGAAGACACTTCAGTTAACATTTTCAATGGATTCACTAATACCAGTAAGTCTGCAAAAGTATACATTTGGGGTAACCCTTTATTTTACAGGCTGTTAATTACATACAACAACACAGGTTCCTCTATTCATCCTGGGGAGGCTCTGAAGGATTCAAACACCATATCTTCTATGGGCCACCTTATCAATTTTACTGGAGCAACATTGTCTATTACATTCTTGGTTTATCCAGTTCTGCTTAGTATACAATATAACATTATAAAATACCCTTGCTGGCCTACTAGCAGTAGGGTTAGGGTTAGATAACAGCCCTGAGATAACAATTTTTCCATGCAACACACATTGAACAGGGACCACTGCTGTCGGGGCATCTACACTAACTGATATGGGAGCTGTCATTGCTGTTTTCAGTTTGCACTTTTTTGCACACACGTCGACTTGTCACACAAGGCTCGCTGTAGTTCATGCCGTGCCTGCCAGAATCTCAGCTTAGAACGCTGATTGTCTGAACCACTGTGGTTCAGCAACCACATCAAGAAAACAACCCCAAAACAAATTAAAGTTAAATAATCCAAAATAACTAAAGCACATCAAATAAATGTAGAAATGATCTTTAACAGCTCAGGAGGCTTCTGAAGTTGGTTAAGGGTAAATGACTGCAGTGCAGGAACACAGGTGAGCACACACACCTTTGAGCCATGTTCGTACAAACTATGATGGACTAATGTCTGTGTGTGTGGTGTGTGTGTGCGCATATATGCGACTGTGCCGGACTGATGTCTCCTTTTCAGATGCAAGCTAAGATTTTTGGTGCAGCAGAGATTGTGGCAGGTTATGCACCATTCACTTGTGTCTCTAATAGACAGTGATGAGAAAATTCCTGTGAAAATACTGCGAGATTCTGGTGCCTTGAATACTCAAGGAAGACACAGGAAGTTGTGTTCCTGTCCGGGGAATGGGGTTAACGACAATTTTTGTTCATGTGCATAAGATGTTTTTGTCCTCCAAATTAGTCCAGGGAGCAGGAGGTTGGGGTTTGGCCAGAATTGCCTGTTGAGGGTGTTGATGTAGGGGCTAGGCAATGATGTAGCTGGAGCATGTACAGTATATGACTGCGTCTGATGGTGGCGTGACAAGTCCCAAAAAGGTCATGTCAAACTTGTCTTTTGTCTGTGTCCCATGCAGAGCTAATGGAGGCACAAAAATCAGATCTCTCTTTAAGGTGCCTGTGTCTGAGGTGGAGAAACGGTCTCCAGTATATTTCCCACAGGATGGTCTGTTAATGAGGAGGTGGGTCCCTTAGGAGAAAGTTTGGCTTGTGGGTTTGTGGAGCAGGTGGTTTTGCCTACCAAGTATAGAGAGTGTGTATTTAAAACTGCCCATGACAGTACGACTGGTCATATGGGAGTGAGAAAAACGTACAATTGTATCCTGCGGCATTTCTTTTGGCCATGCAGTTACAAAACCGGATTCCTATCCACTACTTAGGATGAAAGACTGTAGATCAAGTTGGGGCAGCAAAATATGAAGCAACTTCAATATAAGTGGTAATGAGGATGTATATAACTCCTGTTACACTTCACTTGTTACTAAAACATTTTAAATGAGAAAGGTACTCTATTTCATTGTCCATGGGAATGTCCAAAGATCCAAACTTTCTGGAAGGATGTTATAAAATGTTTGTCAGAGATGTTTCATACCAAAGTCCCCTTATGTGCCAAACTGTGTGTGTTTGGAATATACCCTGAGGACTTCATACATCGAAAAGGACTAAACTTTTGGACTTCTTCAAGCCAGGAGGGCTATTGCGCTATGTTGGAAGAGTATGGATGCACCATCATTGAGCGTGTGGATAAGGGAGCTTTCAGACTGTATTGATTTGGAAAGACTAACCTATATAGCAAAGAGCAAGCAGAAAGACTTTGTTTAGTTGTGGGAGACTTACATGAATATAATTAAAGATGTGAACTAAAGCTTTTCCTGAAAATACAGTGTAAACATGCAAATGAAACAAAAGAATTATTGGTATACTATATGATTTACTACATGATGATGGGATGTTCAAAACAAGAAAATGACAATAAAACATATTGTGGAAAAAAAAACAATTGTCTTTATGGAAAGACAGACAGCAGGTCCAGGAGAGAGACAGGCTGTATGTTATCTGAACCTCCACGGGCACATTTATACAGAATTGACAATGATTTTTGTGCAATAAAGTATAGTATATCATTTCAAAAGAAAGGATTAAAGTTCCAGTTCAGTTAAAATAAGGAGACTTATTGTAAGTAGTTATGTTCAGCAGTGAAAGCCACTCCCACTATCTATCTCTAACGTGTCTGAGCTCATGATAGAGGACTACAGAAGGTCCCATCCAGCCTTCAGTGTGTGTGATTATCTTACCTGCTTCTCCAGTGGAGCCGAAATGGCTGATTGCGCTCACCAAACTGTAGCAGCCACCGTCCTGACAATGAACACAGAGAATGAGAGTTATCGTCACACACACACACACACACATACACACACACACATACATACACACACACGTTTACTTTCACATCAGCCTGGTGCTTCTATTTATTCTCAGGTGACTTTAGTTTGTCTTTACCTAGTTGGAGGACACCACCATGTCCCTCAGCAGCCCGACGGGGTCGTGCACCTTCACCTGCTGAAATGCAGGCGTGAAGCGGAAGCGCTTCAGGTGCAAGACGAGCACTCTGTAGACGTTAGGGAGAGAGGTTAGCAATATGATCACTGCGTTCTATCTGTTTTCTGTGTCTGTCAGAGTATTGTGAATTTCAAGGAGCTCTTAGGGATAGTGGAGGCCTGTTTGGGAACCACTCAGGTCAGGTGTTCATTTAAGACAGATGAGTTGTCACTCACCTTGGCAGGGTCACGAAGGCAGACCTCTGGCCTGATGTGTTGCCTCCGCACTCACACCTGAACTCCAACTTTGTCTCCTTCACGTAGTCCTGGAGCATTTCTTCCACAGATCCTCCAGGAACCAGATCCAGAGACAGGTTAGAGAACTCCTCCTGTCTAGTTGAATGGAGCCCGCACCTGCACATTAAAGGAAAAATACACATAAAAATACAGCCACAGAGATCAGGACCAGGCCTCCTGCTGGACCAGACCGTTTGTTAGGGGGACAAAGAGAGGCACAGCATCCCACTGTGGGGGGCCCAGGTGACACACGTGTGTGTGTGTGTGTGTGTGTGTGTGAGTGTGATGATTTCCTACAGGGCTTACCTCTTGCACGTCCTGGTCTGCTCCGTCTTGAACACCAGGTGATCCTCAACAGGGCAGGTGAACCTCCTGAGGGGACAGAGTCTGTATCTGGTAAATGTAAAGTGAGCATGAATGAGTTTGTTTTGCATTGGGATGAGCACGCTGCAGCTGCATTTGGGCTGGAGTTGATGAATATTTGAATGTTTGTAGTTGCAGATTTTGACCCTGAAGTATCTGTCTGTGTCCTGTTTGCACATTAGAAACCCTACAACAGCACAGCAGTCAGCTTCATCATTAAATATGCAGTCTAACAAAGACCAAACACATCAGGTCCTTTAAAAATGGTCCTTTGACAGTTCTCTACAACCCAACAGATGGAGGAAGTAGTGTTTGTATCAACAGCTGCAGCAGCAAAAGTGACAATAATGCAAAACAGTGCTTAAAAAAACAGTGGTAATTAGTAATTAATTAAATGATAGCCTGTAAAATAAAGGATTGTAGTTCCTTTAGTTGAGGTACATAAAGGTCCTGGTCCCTGTGTGAGAACCTACATTGTACTGTTTGTTGTGCAGGAGGATCTAACATGCTTGTTGGAAACATTTGTTTACTCTTCATTTTCTGAGTGTCGCTGTTGGGCATCATATAATAATAAACATAATAAACAAACTAAAATATATGAACATAAGCAATAACCTGCAGTCATCCTGCGGGGGGCAGCACTGAGTCGTGTTTGTGTCCAGTCCTCAGGCGGAAACCGGAAGTTCGTCACCAGCCAGCTGCCATTTTGACGGTAACAGCGAAGAGAAACTGCGTGTTTGTTGTTCAGCGGTCTTATTTCCACACAAAACATTTCACCATGGCTATGCAAGCGGCGAAACGCGCTAATGTAAGTATGAGCGAGTGGGCTGCTGTATTGTGGGATCGATATAATGAATAATATTAGCTCGGTGGGCTAGAAGATACCGCCTCCCTGCGTTAGCATACGGCTAGCTGGTTCAAATGCTAACGGCCGTGAAACAACCACACTGTTAAAAACTTGACGCAGTCTTGATTTGTGTTACTTACGACGGACGATAACACACATTTGGCAATATTCACTGACTACTTGAGCCATCTGTGGTCTGTTTGTTTCATGTACGCGTATGTGAACACTGACATCGGTTGGTCATGTGCTAACAGCTAACATTAGCCTCTGGGAAGCCAAACTCACAGATGTGTTGGTCATTAATGAAAGTGTCTCCTTCACTGCAGCGCATGAACTAGTGTTTGTTATCTGTTATCGGTTAGTAAAAGGCCTTGGTGTTTCTGTGTTTTCCTTTAGATCCGATTACCTCCTGAGGTGAACAGAATCCTGTACGTCAGGAACCTTCCCTACAAGATCACAGCTGAGGAGATGTACGACATCTTTGGGAAATATGGACCAATACGGCAGATCAGAACGTAAGTGTTAATACACTGTAGATTTCTGGAGGGTTTATGTGGGTTAGATGGGCCAAAGGAAGTACTTAAGCACCATTTTGAGTTCAGAATTTGTATCATTTGATGATGACCCAGGTATCAGGTGCAGGGCCATATGAGTACGGTCAGGTTAGACTGTTGTTGTTGTGACGAACACATTCAAACCACATCGATTAATGATGCTTTTCAGTGCAGACAAAGCTAGCAATGTTTAACAAGAGGTAAGTCTTTCCAGTAAAACAGTAGACTTCTATCAGACATTTGAATGGTTTGAGTTCATACCTGCATGATAATCATATAGGCGTTATTAGACCAGAAACAACCCACGGTACAGGCTACAGACATTGTAATGATGAAGAGGTAACTTCAGTGTTTACAGCGTTACACACCACACAGAATCACATTTGTTAAGGTGGAGTTTGTTTTACGTGCATGTTGCCCCTGACCACCCTTCACCTCCACTGATGATGGGGTTTTGGTTTGGTGAGGCATTCTGGGTGTTACAAATAGAACTGATTCACTTTGATGAAAAACATCAGGGTTGGTCACTATGGTCTATTACATCACTAGTGAAACGGCTCTGTCCACTGTGGCCACAAGATGCTGCTGTACGACACGAGTGTGTAAAATCAAAGAGCTTTATCGTCTCTTCTCTTACTATTCATCATCGCAGGATAACTGAACTGAACTGTCTGAAGTCCTTTGCCTAAAACCTATTGGTGGGTAGAACATTTTCACTAGTGTGTTTATGTAGGAAACCTGACAGACAGTAGTTACTTATAAACACTCCAACGTTCAAAAGAGGCTACAGTCAACCTGTTATCACTGATGGACCTGGGGTTTTCCAACTTTTCAAATTTACCTTGATTCTCAATTTAACAAGGTGTTTCTTTGACTGTGTGTGCTCCCGCGTAGCCCGACTGATAGAGGATTTTTAAGGCCGATACCGATACAGATATTTGGTGATTTAAAAATCCCATAGTCCGATATATCGGCCGATAT